AATTAGTCGATACTTAGCCTTGCCGCTGTCTGAGTGTTTCGAGTGAGTGACCACATGGTCGGCGTGGTGTTACTGCCGTGTTACTTTGGTTGTGCCGCTCGGCTTCATTGCGTCGGTGTGGCTGTTGCTCTGGTTCGGACACGCGATTCGGGGAGGTTCGGTACCATTACGGGGTTGCGGCATTCTACGATATTCGACACATCTTAGGCTTGACATTGGTTCGACATCGGCTTATTTCAGGCTCGGTACTCAGCATCGGTTCGGTACACTCCCAGTATTGGTCTGGCTTCGGCACGGTACTGRTTACAGCGACCCTGAGTGATTACTTGTCCGGTGGCTGGTTTGGGACTGGTGCTGTCACTGGTCTGCTATTGGTGAAACTTGTAGCCCCGGTACTATTATTTTGGGCATGCCTAGTCTGGCACAGGCACTACGGTACAGTATTGGGTGAGGTTTAAGGACCAGGGACTATTCACTCTACTACCGGTAACACCTATTCTGAACCGCTGGGCCTGGACCTGGGACTGCTACAGTTGGTAAATGTGCCGGCCCAAAAGGCTTGGTACACCTGGTACCAAGGATACTGGGGCTCCGCTTTTTTTTAGCTCTGCCAGGTAAGGCAGTGGGAATTGGTGCCTGGCCGAACCGCAGCCTGGATATAGTATGGGCCAGTCAAAGACACGGGGGACTTTTTTTTGGGGACTGGGGCGAACTGGGCACGCGTGCCAGGTGTCCCCCGCTCTGGCTTGCACCAGGGAAGGTTCATGAGAGCGCACCAGAAGTTTGACCGGGGGGACATGTGCCTGGCACCTCGGGAGCGTGGAGGAGAGGGAGACATTCGGAACGTGCACGGTGTGCCCAGCGGGAAATGCAGGCGSGGACAGTTGACGGAGAGAGGATTGGGGGGAGGAGGCACTCAGAATGTGCAGGGTGTACCCGCCCACTGACATGGGCATTGCGGGGAGACTGCATGTGAGAGGGAGAGCGAGAGAGAAGGGGTCTGCACAGCGAGGGTGAGAGACTGTGTGTGAGGAGGGAGTGACCAGGGGAAAAGACAGTGAACAGACTGCGACGACGGCTACACAGGTGAGCATCTACAGCATCCCGTACTCGCTTGAAAGGCGGCGGAGATCAACGCACAATAATCATCAGCGCAGAGTAATCATCAGTGCACTGTGATCAGCCATGATCCACCCAGAGGATTCCACCGCAAGGTGATCATCTACACATGGTAATCAGCGGTGATCAATGCGCTGTACTTCAGCGTACGGTAATCATCAATACGCGATGATTACTGGTGATCAGCTCACAGTAAACATCGGCGCACGACAACCAGCGGTGTTCCATACACGTGGACGACGATGCATGGTAATCAGTGGACTACTGTGGACAGCGAATGTTCAGATCACACACAGTGAACTAGCGACCCACACGGGAGGGAGTGGACTACACCGGAGGGCATGRGAACACACAAGCGTGTGTTTCCCTCAAAGCATGGTGAACGTGTCTGTTGGTCCCAGTGCTCGTTCATGGGGCGCTGCTGCTAACACGGCAGTTACAGTGGGTGAGGATAATGTCAACAGTCTGACGCGCTGGTAGTCGAACATCAGCGGCTACACGTAAGTTGACAATCAGCATCTATTGTACTTGCTAATCCTGCGTTCACATGGGAGCTGGCTTCGACATCCTATGCCTGCTTGCATGGTCACCTACCTCCCTTAGCGGTTTGCGTTTCCGTCTGGCCACCTGTGCCCATGCTTGGCTGTCTCCATCAACTGTGTGTGTGTGTGTGAGAGAGAGAGAGAGAGAGGGGGAGAGAGGGAGAGTGCGTTGGTAGAAAGAAGGAGAGTGCGCTGGCGGAGAGAGCTGGTAAGTAAGCAAAAGAGACTTTGAGAGAGAGACGAGGCTTCATGTGAGAGAGAGAGGCCGAGAGGAAGAACAGAGAGAGAAAGAGTGGAAAGCTGTCTGCTGCTTCAGCCTGTAAACGTTGCGTTTTCATTTATTTATTTATTTATTTATTTATTTATTTATTTATTTATTTATTTTACAAATGCGTTAAGTCTGCTGACGCGGCCAGATACATCCCTTTCACAAGGCACGGGTGGGAGAAGATGACTTGCACGGAGGGGGCGCGGTGTTGTACGGCTGCCCCGCAACGGATTGGAGAGATGTGTGCCCTTTTGAAAGCATCGCCCAACGCGTCCATGATCACCAACGCGTAGGAGTGAACTCTGTTAAGCCTGCATTTGACGAAGAGAGGGCAGGAAGCATCACACTCTTGTGAGAAAATGAGGAAGAG